TGTTGGCGCATGGTTCTTATGGAGAGTTGAGTTAATATGAACTCGTGTCCCCAACTTGGTGCTCAAGACTACTCCCAAAAATATACTTTGGCTCATAAGTGTTTTAAACACATCTTTCTTTAACTTGAGATAATTACTCAAATCTAGCCCAAAGGCTCTTTTGGAATCGATGTTCCTTTCTTACTCAAATGTAAAAACATTTTAGAAACTTCCTTGGAAAATTACATAGTTCCCTAATAACTTTTGAGAAATGGACTCGACTTTATGCTCTTGACTTAACTTGAAACTTGAGATTCTTCACTTGGCTTGAAATTCTATACCCTTTACTTGACTTGAAACTCTATTCCCTTTTACTTGACTTGAAACTTGAGTCTTAAAAATGAAGTTAAAACATTCACTAAAGACTCTTGAACAACTTTAAAAAAACTTGCTGCTTGACTTGCTTAACTTCTAAGCTTGGCTCTAATTTCACTTGACTTTGATCCTAACTTGCCTTGAATTGGATTATGGATTCAAGGTATATGATCACATGTTTATGGATGAGTTCTTGACTCTTAGACGTACTTTGGAGTGTTGAAATAACTATAAAACATAGGTACGATACCAAGGAACATGTATGAAAAAGTGGGGAATGAAAGGTAAAGGGAAGGATTGGCGCCCTTGGAGCTCTAAGAGGCGCGGGGCGCCAGCCCTCAAACTTCAGAAGGACTGCTGGGCGCTCTGCCAGGTGCTCTGCCCCAAGGGGAAAGTTCAGTGTTCCTTTTTGGGGTGCGCTGGCTTGCACGACAGCCCAGCCCTTTTCCCCCAAAAATCCGACTTTTCCCCTTGTTTCTTACAACTCTAAACCCTCTCAACCTCAAAGGTTCCAGCAGCAAACACTTAGAATCATAAAAACCCTTAATATACAACAGATTCAACTCAAAATCACAACCGGAAACCTGTACTAAACCAGCAAGAACTTCAACACAACACAACTACAACTTCAACAAACATCACCACAAGATTTCAACAACCACAACTAAATCTTTTCTTGAAAATAAAAGAGTTTGGTGTGTGGGGGAAAGAATCACCCAACACTATGAACTCACATACCTAGTAGGATCACTCCCGACGATATCCACGATGATCTCCTTGATTGCTCTTCTCTTTCTCCTCTTCCTTCTCTTCTTTCTCTCTTCTCTCCCAAGCCCTAACTCTTCGCTCTTTAAAAATGAGACAAACTGATCTAAAAAATCAGTCCAACACTTAAATATAACCAAAAGAATTGATTAGGGAAAAGACCAAAATGCCCTTAAAATTTCCAGACGGATTTCCCTGCCAACTGCCCAACTTCCAAAGGGCATAACTCACTCATACGAACTCGGAATCGATCAAACTCGGTGGAGTTGGAAAGATCATTCAAAAATATTTCCAGAAATGACTGGAAATTCGCCTAACTCATTCTGAGCTAGGAGTTATGACTGATCAAAGTTGGCCAAAAACTCATTTTTTTCCCATACTTGGACAAATTTCCAGATTTTTGAATTCCTTCCAAAAATGATTAAATTCCAATTCTAAGCCTCTTCATTGTTATTTCAAATTGTCGGATGTTACATCAAACACACAAAAGCCAATAAATTCTTAACTTGTATATATCGACAGTGTAAACAACTCCTACATTATCAGTGTCTTTTATTGTCAAGTACAAATCAATGCTACTGATATAGTAATGTGGATGCTTAACACTCTCCACACGCCAAAAGTTTGGCTTCTCAAGCATTGGTAACACAACATCGTATCTTTATTATGTTTTTATCTCAATATTAAAGAGCTTTCGGATCCAATATTGAGCCAAAATACAATATAACATTCGCATCACAAGCAATAAGATAGCTTTTATAGTCTTTCTTCTGATGCTATGTATATGCTTCGATTAAATATGGATGAACAAGCATCTCCAAAAAAGTGTTCATTAAAATCTTTCAGAACGACAAAGAATGCAAGACGTCATGAGAAAATAAAGCTACATATTAGCTATTAAATATAATGAAAGAAGAATTCAGAACCACTTGTGGATTCAAAGAATTTAGTGTTTATAGAATCCTACAGTGGCCTTAAGTCTATGTATAATTATCATAAGTGTGTTCACAATCAACTATTTTCTAGAAATTACTAATACATATACAAAGTCTCTTGGAAAAACTGTTATTACCTCCATCGCGAGCATCTTACTCTAAAGTGGCGCTAGTGCTTGACTAATAAGATATTAAGAGGGGCCTGACAACATGAAACCTATACGTTAGTTAATATAGTGGGCAATTGAGACATTGCTTTAGCTCTCCTTGTAATAGAGTTATTACTTGTAGTGAAATTAAGAGGTTAATCTCATGTGGGTGTAGTTGAAGTCTGTATTCACACATTGCTTGATATTAGTGAAAACAATTGAAAATCTCGTGTGACAGGTCGTGGTTTTATTCCCTTGAGCAAGGAGGTTTCCACGTAAAAACTCCTTGTCGTTACTGTTCAAGTAGGTCTTATTTGCATTCTAGTATATTGTTAACCTGGTACTATAGCACAGTGGACTAGCACATCTCAACAGAAAGAAATTCCCCACTGATGTGTTCTTGGAGTCGTCTCCAGCTTTTCCAACAGGGGAAATACGGTCACGATTCCTTCTCCTTTTCTGATCACTTCTTCCATTTATTGGCAATCTGTTATCCATAGTCTCTTGAGATTCAGAGCACCTCTGGCCAAATCAAAATAGGCTAAGCAAATTGAAAAAAAAAAAAACTAAATGTTTGATCACTAATTGATGCGTTCTAGGAGTTAAAATGTTTACTTTAGGTCCTATGTGTTCTTGGAGTCGTCTAGGTCCGTCAGAGGTATAAAAAATATAGAGAAATCCTAGTACCTTCTTTAATTTTATCTTGTGTAATATTCGTTTGAGATGAGCCTAAATTCAGCGACATGGTTATTAGTTAGAATTCATATTGCTGATCCCAACTTAATTGAGATATTTGAGATGTTCTTGTATTTGTGATTAATCTCCTTAAAGAGTGTTTTAATTTATATCGCGATTCAGACTTTCATATGTATGTTTCTTTCTTGAGTTTTTGTTTCTATCATTGTACAAGGTATCTACCTGTCTTACAATTCATCTCGTTTGAGTCAAGGGCCTATCGAAACAACCTCTCTACGACTCTACCCCGCAAAGGTAGAGGTAAGGCCTGCATACATATTACCTCCCCAGATCCCAGTTTTGTATGTCATACTAACATTTTCCTTTTGTTAATCTATGTTGCTTGGACTCTCGAGAAAAATATTTCCGCACCCGTGTCGGATCCTCCAAAATGCTCTACTTTCAAAGGATCCTCTTTTGAAGAGTCAGAGCAACATTACCAATTGGTAATTGTTGCAACTCAATGAATCATCTCTCATATCTCTCTCAGGTATAGAGCAGTAACAAGCGCATATTATCGAGGTGCAGCTGGCGCGATGCTAGTCTATGACTTAACAAAACGCCAATCATTCGATCATATGGCTAGATGGCTGGAGGAACTAAGAGGTCACGCGGACAAGAACATAGTTATAATGCTCATCGCGAACAAATGTGATCTAGGAAGTCTTCGAGCTGTACCAGTTGAAGATGCTCAAGAATTTGCAGAAAGGGAAAATCTCTTCTTTATGGAAACATCAGCTCTTCAATCCACAAACGTCGAGGGTGCATTCATGACAGTTTTAACAGAAATTTATAAAATCATTAGCAAGAATAAGCTTATTGCAGCTCCGGGATCTGATTATGGGAAGCTACAATCTTTAAAGGGAACCAGGATCATTGTTCCTGGCCAGGATTCGGATTCTGGTGGGAATAGTGGTGGCTGCTGCATGTCGTCATGATTTTTTATTGAGTTCTGAAGGTCTTTTATTTATCCGAAATCATAATATTACTGGGAATGTTTTTTGTTGTATGTTTTATGTAGGATAGGGAATTGTTGTTGATGAAGTTGATTTAGATAGTTTGTTTAGCTATTTGTGTATACAGTTCATTAAGTTGTTCACTGGGCATCAGGGGCGGAGCTACAACCCTGTCTACGGGGTCTGTCATGTATTTGTGTTAAAAAATTCACTTAATACGTATAAACAATTTATCCAAAATCTACTATTCTTGCTTTTCTAGAATACAACACTGATAAACTCAAAATCCTAACTTCCGTTAAAGTTACAAACACACTAGTCTGGTGAACGGGAATGATAAAAAGAGTTTGTAAGAGACATTATCCGCAAGGGTCAAGGTCTTGGGAGCTCGAGCACATCAAGATTACAACAATGTAGATCCACTTCTGCTTGTTACCTCCATCACGGTGATGTTAGAGGTTTTACTTGCATTATTACATTGAGTACTTACTAACTTCCTAACTTCTGGCATGACTAGGTTCAGCTTCGTTGCCATCCCTAGCTTTTTGTTCCTGCAGGAAACAGAGAATGCAAAAGAAGAGAGAGATGACTAGCTTATTAAGTTAAAGAAAGTTGATGAAGTATCTAAAACGGAAAGAGAGCAGCAGAACCTAATTAGAATATGTAGCAATTACTTACATAGCTAGCGGAATAAAACATACCTTGTTATTGAACCTCTGTTGTATCCATTTATTGAGATCATCTACTTTCACCTCATCATCACATTTGAGAATCGGTGTACTCACAGATATTCTCTGTTGGACAAACGTCTTCATTTCAGGGCAGCCGCGAATATTCACGTAATTGAGAAATGGAAATTCAAGAGCATGCTCTGTTAGAAAGAAATGCCCCAGCTTAGGCAGATAGTTAAGACCCAGGCATTTCAATCGGGGAAATAAGGTCATGATTCCTTCTCCTTTTGTGATCACTTCTTCCATTGATTTACAGTATTGTATAGATAATACTTGGAGATTCAAAAGACCTTTGGCCACTGATGGAGACATCAAGTTTCTCAATTTTCCACAATTTGATACTCTCAATGTTTGAAGTTTGGTGAAGTAGTCAGTTGGAAGTTGGTGAGAGCATAGAGCACTTATGCTTTCAAGTTTCCAGATTTTTAGTGCTTCCAGGTTGGGACAAGAAACCTGCGAGCTTTGAAGTATCAAACTTTGTTGCAGATACAGTTGGAGCTATTGGAACAAAACACTACGTCATAAGTGGAGAAGCTGAAACTGCTTACACACATTTATTTATATATTTTTAAAAAGCCACTAGTCTCTGGGCACGTGTTTTGCACCTAAATCCCATATTATTCAATATAAACTTTTAAAATAACATAAATAATAACAAAATGTGTGATGAATAACACAATTTAAAAATAAAATAAAAACACAAGCTTGAAATAAATAAGAATTGATCTATTTATTGTATACTCACGTCCACCAACAACTAACAAACACACAAATATAATGAGAGCAGGAAATAAACGAAAAACAAAAATATAATATGGTGATGAAAACATTATGCATGGTGAGAGGAAGCAGAAACGAATACAAATTAAACTTGCTCAAAATAACTTGTTTCTCTGCATTTATAAATAACTATTACAAATATTTATTCAACAAAAGTAAGGAAGGTAGTAATAAGAAAATGAGTGATAAAGAGAAAAGATGGAGGAACTTACCGTCTATAAATATTTATATTTCTCTCTTCAATTAATTCATCACCTAAACAGTTTATGCCCCTTGCACTTGCAAGATAAATTATTTGACAAATCAAAGAAAATTTTAGTTTTAAAAGTCTGAAATACTACAAAATGATATAAAAAAGGATATAATGTGACCACTATAAAGAGGACCAAAATAGTCTCACATTAAAAAAAATACGACTTATTAATAATCTTAGCTCAAATTAGTAGTTAAATTAAAAAGTCTCGATTAAGACGTGAGACTTGCAAGTTATTGCATATTGTGAATGCTAATTATGATTAAACTCATATGTACTTCAATTGTAATTTATGTGATATCGATTTGATTAGGGTTAAATTTATTTCTAAATACAGACATATAAATAGACTTAAAAATAAAATGTCACATAAGTAGAATAAAGAAAATATTAATTTTATTCCATAAATTCAACCCTTAAATAATAAACCGTCCGCAAGCAAAGTCTAAACTTGTCCAAAAGAAAATGACTAGTATTGTACTTTTTTTTTAATTAAGGGGGGAAAAAAGGAATAGTATTACCTTTTGCCTGAGAAGATACGCCAAACAAGAAATAAATAGTAGTAGGTTCTTATGGAGTCAAAATGAAAAGAATAAAAAAGAATAAAATGATAAAATTTCTGATGGTGTGGTTTGGGCTTTTATAAAGAATTAGAATATGAAAAGGCTATACAAAATATATCTTATGGAACTTCAAAAGACTAAACAAATAAATATTGAAATAAGAAGAGGTACTAAATTAAAGAGTTGGCATCCGAATAGCTTACAATAACTACTGCAAATAAAATTGTACTCCCGATTCTATGTAGCTGAAACTATTCAATTACAGAAGACATTTTTAAAGGTAGAATGACCATTTAAATTTCACATTATATTTTTGTATAAATGAATTTGGTCTAAAATGCAGTATAATTAATTGTTACTCCTTAAATTCTACCTATTTTGATTAGAGTTAGGAAGAGATAATTCTTGTAATTGGTTAATAAAAAAACACTTATTACTAATGGTAATATTTAATAGAACGTATGTTTACAATTTTGTACAGAATATTGTATTAGTAGAGTTTTAGTGAAAGGGTAAAATAGTCAATTTAATATAATTAATAGGATATTGATTTGATGTAGGAGTAAAATGGTAATTCAACTTTGTAAGATTGATTTGATGTAGGGGTAAAATTGATGATTGATGTGTATTCCTTCATTTAATATTAAGAAAATATCATAAACCCAATAAATAATTATAGAAAAAAAATATTAAAAAATTATTATTTATTTAACTATACTAGACCGTGCTATGCACGGGCCCAACGTAGGGCTATTTATTGATCGGATAATTTCGCTTAATATGCCCTATAGAGATCAATTTTAAAATTTACTAATCTGCTAGCCAACCTATAATAAATATGTTGGTTCAGTAATGGATTAGCAATTATTGGATGGTTATCAGGCAGTGTAACGGTTAATCTATAATCTCTACGTTACCTTTTTTTTTTTTTTATGAACATACCTTACAAAAAGGATGGCTTTGAGTAACAACATCAAATGGATAAATTGATCCAAATGCTCAATTGGTTGTCCCATTTTCATTGTCCAGTGGAAGCATCTTTACCGATGACTCTATAAATTGCTGCATACTTTTCATTTACATATCCTCAATGTTTCTCTAAGTTTGCTGACTTGCTCTCCATTCAAAACTAATAATTATTAAAAAGTAAATAGATTTTTATGGCATTACACTTTAGCTTTTAGGAGTTAGGACTAACAAAGAAAATATATATAATTAATTTTATATACTATGGTAAAATATTAAATAAGCCTAATATACATAGACTTAAAATGTAAGTATGTTAACTCTTAACGGGTTAATATTTTACCCAATAAAGAAATTGAAAAATGCACCCTCACACCAATAAGCCGTTATTACAAAACTTTAATCCGCTCCCCAACCGTTTATTCAATAACTCAATACCAATAAGCCAGTTTGTCATTGACTTATCGAATTGAACACATCTAGCCCAATGTGTATGATTTTGAAAGAATAATTATAATTATTTTTTTTTGTAATTTGATTATCATGAACAAATATTGTCAATATAGAATAAAAATAATGAAATAAGCTACAATAGTATTGTTGAACTATTTTTATAAATACATATAAAAATTCCAGAAGTATAAATGATATGATAAATACATATTTAGAATTTCTCTTATGCTCAATTGACACAACTTCACTATAAAGAGGTGCAAAATCAAAGATTTAAATTTTTTCATAAAAGTAGTCTGCAGCAATTATTTTACATTTGGTTTGTCATTTCATTTGCAACAATTTAAAAACATATTAAAACATCATCAATTATCTCACAAGATAAGAATTGCACACATTAACAACCAAAGCGCTATATTACACCAAATCACATCACAATTTGAATTCTAAATTTTCTTTTCATTGAAGTTGTCAAAACACTATTTTATAGCGTCACATTATTAATTTAGAATTGTCAATAGCACCAAATCACCATAGATTTGAAATTACAATATCAAAAACTCACAAAATTTGATTGAGCATTTTTTAAGCATGAGCCTAACATCTCTTTTCAATTTTTACATGCAAGTAAAAATAGTGCACCAAAAGAACTGTACCTTTAAATCATAATTCTTCCATCTCTTTTCATTTCTATGTATGTTCATAGTTATAGAACAATTAATGGTAAGCGACCTTATTGGAACACCTGTGTGGTTTGACCCTTGTCCAAAATAGAAGTTTATCATGAAGGCCTCATAGAAAATTCAACATAACATGAATAAGAGTTAATCAAAGACCAAAAAGTGATTTAGCATCAATTTTGATGTCAAAGGTACTGGTTATTCTAAAATTTATCTTGCCACCCTCAAACCTTTCAAAAATATTGCCACCCTCGTGTTGTATCCTCCAAAAATACATAGCTTTTTGGATGATTCACCACACAACATCATGTAGCCTGAAAACTACATGCATGATCTTATTTCACCATTGCAAAATGACTCCTCTTGACTGAGAAATGCTGAAAGAACTGTTCCACTGCCTAAAAAAATGAAGAAAAATATAAGTAAGCCTATTCATGAATGATCAAATCTCTCACGAAGTAACTAATATAATAGGTTATCTCTTCTTTTGATGAAGTAAAGAAGAATAGGTCTATCTCTAAAATGAAATTAGACACAACTTAATAGTTAAAAGGTTAATAGGCCAAATAGTCGGCAAGCCACTATTAAAATAAAAAAATTGAGGTCCCTGCACTTATAACATCTCAATTGCTTCGTTAGACTTATATCTGTAACAGACTGCAATAGATCAATTAATTGGACATTACAGATTCCACAAAAAAGGTCCTTGAAACATAATTCCGTCTCAACATCTATGTAGAAAGACAAACAAACATCACTCTGAAGAACAGAAGTAGGAACATCTCATCTTCAGTAGCAGTAGCTACTGGTTAATTCACACCAAGTACAATTCAAAACAAAGAAAAAACTACTTGCTAATTTAAGGGAGAAGCTACAGTCAAGTAGGCATGTTACAACAAAGTTTAAAAAGATATATTTATAAATCCGAAAAAGTTTAATGAGTAATAGCATGCTAAGTTTTGGTAGGAGATATCTTTCCAAATTTAAATAAATTTTAGGAGCTTTTACATTCTATAAAGGAGAGCTTATCTTTGTGACTGGAAGTTCTGCTACCATCTTTAGCCATCAGTTTCTTTCACAAGTTTAACTTTCAAGGGTTTACATTACCTCTCTACCAAGAATCAACAAACAAAGAATTTTCATGTCAAAGCTTAAAGTAGAAACAATTTTTCTAATGTTACATACAAAATGATTCATATAAGAGTTTTAAAACTTTCTTATTTGAAGTCTAACGTTTAATCAGATTGTCTCAGTAAAAATCTGGTCCTCTTCTTCAGAGGAAGCACTCTAAACTTAGGCTGGTAATCAATCTCTAGCATGGGCCTGACCACTTAAAGTGAAGAATATTAATCAGCTAAGGATGGTCCTTGTATACATAGTCTCGCAATCTTAATAGATATCCAACAGAAAACATGAGAAACGTAATCGACAACGGCGTAAGCAAAAGCAGATAAAACCACATGATATTATTTTATAAGCCTGCTAAATTAGGTAAAAATAAGTATCAGACAAAGATCTCCACCAGAAAAGAACAAAAAAAATGCCAAAAATTACATGAAAAGAGTTTACTTTTGCTACATATTCGGCTACACTGATTCCCTATGAATATGGCGGTAGTTTACTATTTCAGTTGCAAGAGGCACACTAAGGAGATCAAATTGGATATGTGATTAATGAGATGGTGCTATACAAGTTCATATTCTTGGAAGAGGATACGCTACAAAGCAAACAGTTTCGTCATAAAATATAAGTTTTTGTAGCTGCTCCATGTACTACATATATATAATCTCCATATGAAAAATATTCAACCGTTAATAAGCATGAGAAATGTTTTTTTTTGAAGAGGCTAAGGCATGGAACTATCACAGATCAAAGAGTATCGAACTTTTAACAGCCAATATATTCTAAAAGTTCCATTGACTATGATATCCGATTTTATTTTATTTTTGTTACGATTAGTTGAAAAGTTCTTTTTCGAAGGCTTCTCTTACTTTCCTTTCCTTATTTAATATGGTTTTGGAAGTAACACAACTCTACATTTTCATATAGTAACAGATATAACAGAAAGTGCACACACCTATAAAAATAAGAGTTCTCTTCTTTTAGAGTAGCAACAAAACGTAGAAGGAAAAACATTATTTTGCACGTCCACTTCGTAGTTAGTGGCATAATTGCATCGATAGTAAGCCTCTATTCCATTTTGGAAATACTACGTTCATCCATGATAATAATATTGTAAGAAGAGCTGATATTGGAGGAAATTAATAAACTAAGTTACAACTAAATATTTGCAAGCAGAACTTGTCCAGTTGCGCATTTTGGTCACAACAAATGGCACATGGAAACTTAAAATATCAGAGTTATGTTTGTCTACCATGGTTAGTAGCAAAGATAATTTGTCTGGGTCATTTTTAGAAGCACAAAAGGACATAATTTTAATGCAGGGAAAAGTTCTGTAGGAAAATATATTTACTACACTACATATGTATAATTTTCTGGATAAATAACCAAAGGGTAAGCAATTGGCCAAAATCTCAAGTCTACAACTATGATTTTTCGTTGTTTTGTAAGAAAAGTGGAATTGACGTTGATTGGGTTTCTCAATATTGTATTGAAAAGTTGAGTCCATAATTTTTATATTAGAATTAACGAAGTTTCTTTAAATATTTATAGAACAAAAAAATTAAGTTGTTGAAGGTCTTTATCGAGCACTTGTAAGGTGAAGATCCTGCTACGAAACAGATGGAGTAATCAACCATGAAACAACAACACATTATATTAATCAAAAACACAAACGAAAAGTGTAAGGTAATTCAAACCCGCAGAAAATAATAAGATATAAGTGTCCCTTTTCTGATGTCCCACCATAACATAATTCTTTAATTATTTTTCTCTGTTGATTCCGAGGAGAATAAGACCACACATTTGTAAGTCTTACTTACTTGTTTCTTTGTATCACATAAGCACACCTCTTGTTGAGGAGAATGGCAAAAGCATTCACTCAAAAGAAGAGGTCAATACAAAAGTTAAAAGGAGTGGGCTGAACAATGTAGACAAAGTAGAATTTTTTCTAGCTAAGATAATTTTCCAAACACCTGGTGGACATCAAAAATCTTTCAACAGAAAAACCACATATGCATGCTCCATTAAATTTTAAATCTTGCTACAACTCAAAAATAAAATTAGAAGAATGATCATACCAATTAAGTGATTGTGCTCTTAATCTCCTGGTGTGGTAGGTTGATGAAGTTGTTACCAAAAAGCAAAGATTTCCATAATTGATGTTCTTTGCTTCATGTTAGGACTGAGAGAATTCCCTAAAATTTAAGCGAGACACGATTTAGAATTTAAAATCCTAAAGAAATAAGTAGAGAAAATTTCAAAATTCGAAATAAAAATGATTAAGAAGTAACCGATGTGAAAGAATCATCAATTGTAATACAATTTTTGTGCTCTTCTTTGCCTGATGTGGAAGAATCATATACAGTCTCATTCTCTCTTTTAAACTGGAAGAGACAGAGGAAAGAGATAATGGAACGATCTAGAACCGAAAGGAAGTACAAGTATAAATCAGTCCTTTGATATTATTATTTTATCCTTGAATAATAATTATATTTACAAGTTTGCCCTTGGTCTTCCTATCCTTCTCATGTCTAATAATTGGTTCTAGAATATTGCTGAAATTACCATTTTAACATTAGCCATCCCATGGCCTGATAGTTCTAGAATAGTGATGAAATTACCATTTTAGCCTTGGTCGTCTTGATCGTCTTCACCTTTCTATATAATAGAAATATTTTATTAATGGTATTATTGTAGTAACTCAACTTTATAGGGTTATTTTGGTATTTTAACTTTTAACTTTTTTTTATTCCCACTTATATTAATACTAGTTCTGAGAACGTGCCTTGCACTTTTGACCTTTATTATTATATAAAAATTTTATCGGCCTAATTTATGTATAGAAACATGTGTAATATCAACCCAATTAACTTAACAAATAATAATAATTTATACATGTCATCATATGCATACAAAATGAAAAAGATTAAACAAAGCAATATATTAATCTGAATAAGAAAGAATAACCGATAAATTAAAAAATATCATAAGAAAGTCTAGTGGACTAATATTTTATGTCCAATTTATAAAGGAAGAAACTATGTATGCCGTGATAGAATTATTAGCATCCCAAGAATAATTCATAATTAAGCATAATAATAAGTTAATAGATGGTTAAGAGAGGCGACATATGAGAAATATCATTGGAAACCTTACAAGTCACATTGAAGATGAATTAAGAAGAAGAAGAGGAGGGAGAGAACATCAATGGATCTAGTCTAGCATGATACACTGATCTGGCTATTTATAAAATTTTGAAATCATATTGTTGGAAGTTGAAAAGAACTTTAAAACATTGAATTGGTAAAATGATAAGTCATTCTAGAATATTGAAATAAGTGGCAGTACCAAGGAAATTAATTCATCCGTATGTATACTCAAATACATATTAATTATATTACTGTGAAACTTAATATGATATTCTTAATTAATGATAGAATATTTAATAAATTAGATATTTTATGACATTTTAATTTAATGTAGGGGAAAAACAACAATTTAACTTTTTTCTAAATTTCTCACTTGTAATAATATATATGATGATATTATTATTATTATTATTATTATGATATTTTTATTGAAAAACTGGCTTTTCAAATTCCTCAGGCATTTTACTATTTCATTAAAAAAAAAAATTAGATTTCTAGCATCCCATAATATTTATATTTAATATATAAACTAATTTTTCAAATTCTTCAGGCATTTTACTATTTCATTAAAAAAGAAAGTAGATTTTTAGCATCCATAATATTTATACTTAATATATAATAACTAACAATATATGATTAAAAAAGAAAGTAGATTTTTAGCATCCCGTAATAACTATATTTAATATATAATAACTAATAGTATATGATTTTTTTTTTAAAAAGTTTTTAGTATAAGGATAAAATGGTATTTCAACTTTACACTTTAAAGCTTTCCACTTTTAGTAATCTATGAATGATGATGATATGATATTTTTAATTAGCCAAACATATATAAAAAATTTTATATGATCTCGTTTCATATTTAAAAAAAGTTTTTTAGTATCTCAAATACATTAGTATTATTTTTCCATTTGGGCCGAGTCTAGAGCAGTAGAGATAATTTTTGAAAGGCACATCACATTTTTTAAATTAAAAAATTACAATTATATATTTTTTAATAAAATAGATAAAAATTTATTAACGAAAATGATAAATATGCACCATATATTAGACGGTAGATGTATATATGCACCAATTTTATTAACAAGAGGTATATTTGCTCAAAATCACAAAGTTGAGCAGTATATTTGCCCAGTTTTCCTTAATTCAATGTATAATTTGGGTTTCACTCATCTGCTTGTAAAATTTATCAAAGATGCCCCATTTTTCTGCAAATATAAAAAATAAACCAAAAATGGTCTAAAATGCCTTTATTGTTACTTAATAAGTCAAGAATGTCATTTTTCAAATAATTTTTTTTTTTTGAACACATTCTTTTCCTGATGATATTTTTTTATTAGCAAATGTTTATCCTACTTCAATTTGAAAAAAATAATATTTAAAATATTTCTTATTTTATTATAAATATCAAAATAAAAATTAATGGCTGATTTACTATGATCTTATATATAAGACATATAAAAATTAATGGTTGATTTACACATCAAATATAGCCTTATATGAATTTTTTAAATAACAAATTAAAAAATTAATTTAAAATTATTTTTTCACTGGTTAGACAAAAAGGATATATCTAAGCAATAGACTTTGTTTAAGTAAATATCGTTAATGCTTCAACCAAGAAAAACCCCTCCACCTGGATCTTCATGCGTAAGGATACTAGATTACCTAGTAGAAAAGATTGAAAAATCATCACAAACCGTAAAAGGTAAGATTTTGGTGATAAGAAGCAAACCTTTTCATCAAAAAGAGGATTTGAGTTGTTGGCTGTAGGCCTGAAATTCTGGAACTCAGGTAGTCCATACAAGAACATTCTTTGTAACAGAGGGAACTCAATGCGCTAAACATTGTCAGATTTACAAGCTTCAACTCATATAAATTGATTACTTCAAGTGTTGTCTTCAAAAAATGTGTCACTAAATCACAATGATAGAGGCGGAGATATTTCATGTTCTGAAATTCATTCAGCTACAACTCAGTCAACACATTATTAGAGCCCTTTCCCCTTGAAAGTACAAGTTCGCTCTCGTTCAACAGGTGGCAGATCCAATCACCCAATGG